AACACAAAAAAAAATATATAAAAAATCATTATTTTAACACGGCGCACGAACTTTTTCCTCAACCTAATACATGTGTTTGATCTATGACTTTTAATCGATAGTTACAAGAAAATTTCTTATTTATTTTCAATTTTCATAACGTGATCTCAACAGTCATAGTATCACACATAATTCATCAAAAATCGACTGTTTAAAAAGTTCATCAACTATTTTCCTAAACATGTCGTTTGTCTACCTAAGCGAAACCAAACTGTTTTTAGTACAAACGATTAATTTTATTTAATATATTATTCTATTCTCTATATAATCACAGTTGTACAGTGTATTATGTATTTTGTTTAGAAAAAAAAAGAGGGGAAATAGAACAGGTTGTGTCTGTGCTTATGTTTTACACTGGAAAAATGAAAACGACAGATGATGAATGTATGCACGAGTTCTGAAAAAAGTCTAATTATATATATATATATATAGATACGAAAGAAGAAAAAAAAAGTAATGGTACAAAAAAAAAGCAGCAACAAAAACAATCTCTGCCAATTGTTTTACAAAGAGTTTAGAAAGAAAATATGTACAAAAAAAATGAATGAAATAAAGAAAAAAAATGTCAATTATCGAAAACAACAGAGAGATGTTAAACAATGTTTTGTTCACTGTGATTAACGCGACTAAATTATTAACAAAAAAAGAAAAACACAAGCATGTAGTAAAAAAAATGTCAGAGAGAATAAGTACATCTCTATCGAACAATTATTTTTTTATGAAAAAGTAAACAAAAATTAACTCTATTGAAGATGTTTTGAGCAAAAAAAAAATGAACGAATGCTTTTTTCCTTTAAAAAAAAAAAATTTGGTATGGAAGAGAGAAAAAGTACAAAGTAATGATCAGTTGAAAGATAAAAGACGAATAGTACAAAAGTGTGTTGAATAGCTCTAAATATTTATCTTTCAATAGAGAAGGGGGAACAGCTACTGTAAAGAGCACTGTACTAGTGGAGTCAACTTATCACCGACTCATTTTATTCTATGTACGACGATAATTAACGTTTTGTGCAATCATATTCTTTGCCTAACTGAACTACCATCAAATGTCATCTGATTTAAAAATTATGTCGTTAGTATCATCATAATTTATTTTATTTTTTTGACTCGTGCAGATAATGTATTCTTAAGAATTCGTATTCAAGAAATTATACGAAAGGAAAATGAAAATAAGTATGTTTATGTGTAAAAGATGAGTAACAAAATTGGTAGGCATAGATTAGGCAGAAAAAAGAAAATGCTTTAGAAGAAAGGTATCAACAAAAAAGAAAAAAAAAATATAAAACATTTGTTTTGTTTAATAAACAATGTAGAATTTCATTACAAGAAAAAAAAGATTCATTACACACATATAGATGAAAAATAAATTTTTTCGGATTTTATAAATAAATAACTATCTAAAACAAAGAACTCATAAAGTGATGAAGAGAGAGAAAACAAAAGAAAAAAAATACTGAGAAAGAAAGATTTTATAAAATATCATTCTATGAATGCTCTAGTAGATTTTCTCTCAATTCTTGTTGAAGATTAACGTTATTATTATTATCGTTATTATTGTCATTATTAGTATTCTGTAATTCTTGTTGTTCATAGGATTCATCCTCCTCATCATCTTCTTCATCATCAAGATTATTCTCCTCATTTAGATTATATGTTAATTGTTTTTCACTTGGAACATTAAAAAAATCATTTATTGTCGATGACATTGATTGTGTTAATGGTGTGTGAGCTGTTGGTGTTTCTTCTATTGATGAAGTTAATGATTGTTGTTCATCTATATTTGGTAAAGGCGAAGGAGAGAGACACGGTTGAAAATCATTTAAAATTGATGGTGATGGTATTGCACAAGATTTGAAATCATCACCGCTACTACTCAATAAATGATCGATTGATGATTGTTGTTGATTATTTGGACTTTTGAATAAAGTTTGAGATAATGGTGACTTTTTCTTTCGTGATTGAGTTGGTTTTTTGTCTGTAGGTGGTGGAGCAATTGTTGTTGACGAAAAATAGGATGTTGAACCAGTACCACGTAAAATAGGAAATGAACCTAAACAATGAAAATATATAAAATGTTTTTATAAGTAATAAAGTTTTGCTGATAGTTTAGTACATGATAGTATTATTAGTGATCGGCATTAGATAGACTTGTTCATGAACATGGACAGAAAAATAGTTTTTGTTATGTGGATTTTCATGGTAAACCGTAAGTAATGAAAATAAACGATCAGATTTAGTGTGTTAAAAAGAGTAAATAGAATAGAATAGAATGTGATAGGACAAAACAACAACAACAACAACACATTGTCCATCTTCATATAAAATTGATTTTCATATTTTTCAATAAATTTTCATACTTTAGAATATTATAATGGATTTGTATCTATCTATGTTTTGAAATAATACAATTATTTATATCAAACAATCGATCTATTCTATTTTCTTGATAGATGTTAAAAATTATTTCGACAGGGCCTACCTAAACTTTTTTGTTCTCTATTAACAGTACCGTAACGTGTTAAATTATTGTGCGGTGAATGATTCATGTCGTCATAATCATCGGATTCCTCCTTAAAAAATAAATTTACAAGTGTAATATATTAACAATTTTTGTTCATTCTTATGATTCTAAAATATTTATTTACATTTGAAAAAAATTGTTGTACGGTTAAATTTTTTTCTTGTTCATTTGATTCATTCAAAAATCGAGATTGAGACATTAATTGAGATTGTTGATATGATGGTTGCTGTTGTGATTGTGATTGTTCTTGTTTAATAAATACTGAACCTGGATTATTCATTTGATGATCAATGGACACTAATCTAAAATAAAATAGAAATATATAGATTTAACAACTACTATAATATTAAAAAATGAATATATGAAACATACTTGACAACAGTATTCGTATCTGTTGATTCATTTAGTGAGGATTTATTGCTATTACTACCAAATAATGGTTTAAATCGATTCTAAAATATAGAAATTCATTCATTATCTTATAGACTCTTTTGAAGAGAAAATCAAAGTCAATTAAATATCTATTTTTAAAATTATATTTACTTGTTTATAAATGCTAAATGCTTGTTCTAATTCATCAAATTGTTTTCGCTCTTTTCGCATTGCTGTTAATGCACGAGAAAATTCTGTTTGTTGTTGAGCTAAACGAGGCATTTCTTGTTCTTCTTCATCTGTTAACATGGACTGAAATGAACGTAAATATTTCGTTAAGCAGACACTTCTATTATATTAAATTATTATTTTTAAATGTTTATATTTACCTGCCTATGTTTTTTCGTTAGAATATTTCGTTTTTTCTTAATATCAGCCAAATTTGTTTCATCTGCTTTTATTCTTAATGTTATAATTTCTCGACGTTGTTTTAACCATTTAGAATATTTTTCAAACTGATCCAAAATATTCTCAGAATCCAAACATTCATTATTATCTAAAAATATAAATAATAAAAGTTAACAGATAATCACAGTAATATTAATAGAATGCTTACCTGGTAAACAAAGGCCGGGTAATTGTGGGGGAGGAGAAGATTGATATGTCGGATGTGTAATAGCTTGACGAAGTAAATGAACCGCATGAGCTAAGGTTAATACTTGTGGTTGCTGCTGCTGCTGCTGTTGTTGTTGCTGCTGTTGTTGTTGCTGCTGCTGCTGCTGCTGTTGTTGTTGCTGCTGCTGCTGCTGCTGTTGTTGTTGCGGAACAGATGAAGATGAATTTGAGTTCGATGATGATTGAGACGGAGTTTTTATTGACGGATATTGTGATTGTTGTTGATTCGAACGACAATGAGCTTGAATTTCGGCTACCATCCAGTCTGATTGAGATGTTGATCTGAACAAAAATAAATCTCAAATATATGATACGATGATGATGTAACAAGTAGAAAACACACCTTGATTTATCTTTAGAATCTCGTTCAAGTAAATCTTCTAATGAAAATGTTTGATCGGATAACGCTGTCGAGGTGCCTACAATAAAAGTAAAATTTTTAAATGTCTACAGCGTATATTTTGAAGTTTTATACTGAAATACAGAATTTTTCACTCTAGCAAGAAAAATTAATTTAATTGACAGTATCTTACCCAAAAAGGTTGTATCATTCAACCATGTTCGTTTTTTATTATTTGCATTTATAATTTGTTGATTTAACTGATTTTTATTTAAAATTAAATTTGTATTCTTCTGTTGCTGATTTTCATGCGATAATATTGAAGTTATTCTCTCTGCCACAACATTTTCTGTCGGATTTGACATCATGCCACCCGATTGTGGTGCATTAATCACATTTGTACAGGTAAAATCATTCACGCTTTGAGAAAACATACGTTGTTGTTGTGAATGTTGTTGAAGAAATTGATGCTGGTTTGTACCAATATTAAATGTACTCTGTTGTTGTTGTTGTTGTTGTTGAGGCGATGGAGATGCATACCAATCAGTTGGCGTCGGTGGTTGTTGTTCTTGAACTATCATCGATGTCTGACGTTTTGTAGCTTTCGATGGAGGCAGTATTTCATTGAATGGAC